TATGTATGCAACAATAAAAGCAGTAGTTTATCATGGAGAATTTGTATCGATGGTTAATAAGTTTGAAAATTGTCAACGCCGCTACAAAAATTTCATATCTATTTTCAAACACGTGACAAAAAATCCGGTGAGGTAGTGTATTTAAAATCTTGTACTACAATCGCAAGTCTCGTGATTCCAGTGCGGTGATCTGCATTGGGTATTCGATATGCATATTGATGTTCTATTGCAGGAGTCAGACGTTAGTTTTGTTTAAAAGTTCAAAAGATGGGCTTTAACACGTACAATTCATACGATAGGAAAAGTGGACATGCCCAATGCGTTGATAGAGAATGTCTACGTTGTGCAAAGATATTACCTTTTCAATTTTGACCAATAGCGACATGGTATCACATTAATTACTTATTGACAGTCTACTACACAGATTAGTTATCTTTGCTGTTCATAGCAATGGCAACATTTGCATCCCTTTTCGGCAAGACCGGTATAGAATGGACGAGAAAGGTGGGAAATTATAAGCAAATCGTTAGTGGTAGAGGCAACAATATCTGGATCATTGATGATGCGGGGGTGGTAAGTTCTCTTCCAATAGATACTTTAATAGGTCAATTTTTCTCTTATACTCGTAACTTTAAATTTGATTCCCTTTGATATTTCTCATCTCATAAAAGATTTCCTGCGGTCTAAATAGCTACAAACAATATACTCTTAAAGCAGGAGCAGCACAAATTTCCGTGGCTGCAGATGGAGCTGTTGCCGCGGTCGATAATGCGAATGGGGTCCATTTGTTTGAGAATGACGGATGGTACGTATTCTTCAGTAGTGAATATGATATTTGGCTTTTATTTTGATATAATTTCGTTTTTGTAGGAAGAGGTTGACGTCAATAACGGCTAAGCAAATTGCTTTGCAATCATCAAGCATTATGTTTTTCGTCAACGAGGAGGGCATTCTCCAACGCTATAATATCACGAACGACGCGGTTGATAAACGTGGTGAGTATGACTAAAAAACGTCATTTTCTTTTCTACTACATTAATCTTTTTTTTACTTATATTCGACACATTTATTAGATTATGGGGTGGTTGATTTTGTCACAGCAGCATCAGACGGGACGCTTTGGGGACTTGTAAATGACCAAGTGCTGCGATGGAATGGGTTTTGTTGGTACGAAAACGATTCTTTCGGTATAATGATGATATTGGTCCGCGATGCTAATATCTTTATAATGCAAACAGGGATCTTATCAATGGCCAGAAAATGAAGCATCTTTCCGTTGGATCAGCACTTTTGGTTGTTGGGATTAACCAAGATGACGAGATATTTCAATTCGTAAAAAGTAGCTGGCTACAGATTGCAGGAAAGCTAAGAAACATTACCGTCACGATTGATGGAATCCTCTACGGTACTAATAATGTGGATGATATATTTTATAGTCACGATGCCTTAAAAACAATTTGTAGAAATTGTCAATGAGCAAAAAAAGAGTTTAATATCACATGTATTATTATTGGCAATTGTTGATGATTTAATTAATAAAGTTGAGCTCCAATTCATCGATATTAGTATATTAAGAACAGCGTTGTCGAAATTTGGGCTAACGGATTAAATACCAAAGATTGATATCTTCATTGACAGTATGTGATAAACGTGAAGACGCGAATACACAAGTCGGAATGATTCAAGGGTATACGAATGCTCGTGATGACAGTAAGGAATGATGGTTTAGAAAAGTCAGGACTATAAATAGTAATAAATAGAATGCCAATCTAGAAATTGTGTACCTATCTATTCATATGTGATTAAATTATATGTGAACAAAACGCTAGCAATAAAAAGAAACGCCTCAATAACGGGTCTTCTGAAGGTCACCAACCCGTAACATACCACATCAATCACCATATCAATCACCATTTGGACCAGCCTCCAAGTCACCGATCTGATCGAATAATTGCTTCATCGTTTCGTATTTTTTGATACATGGCGCATGGCCTTCGCTCGCAGCCTTTTCCACGTACTTGAACGCGCGACGCAAGCTAAGTTCGGCATATTTATCCGCCGACTCGATATTGCCTCGTTCAACGGCCTTTCCATAATAATCCATCGCAGCCGCTTCGTTCGCCTCAACGCAAAGTCCCTTTTGATAGTACAGTCCTAAATAGTAGAAGGCCTCAGCATTACCAAACTCGGCCAGCTTGGTGAATTTAGCAAAGGCCTCCTCATATCTTCCATCTTCATGCAATTGCTTGATTTCTTCTATGTCTGGTACGCCTTCATCCAAACATGGCAGCTCAGATACAGAGTTTTCGCGAGGTGTTGATGGGTGTACAGTTGGAGAGCTTGGTGCACGTTCATTGGACAACTTTAATAGCTTCCCGTATACTTCATCGGCTTTTGGACGCTCGCACGGTTCTTGACTCCACGCTTCCTCCATAATTTCCTTGTATCCTTCTATGATCTCAATCTGTTTAGAGCTTTCTGGACGACCACCGGCCAAAACGATCGGTATGATATCTTTGGGAGGTTTATCCTTCATCGGTTTTTCTTGATATGCAATTTCCCACAGAAGAACTCCGAAGCTGTACAAACAGTGATTGTTAGTTAACAGAAATTTCATGCAGTTTTTGCATCTTTGTTGAGATTACCTGTATATATCGCCGGCTTGCCTATATGGCTGTGGGTTGTCAGCAAACTTTTCTGGTGGAAAATACCTGAGATATGAATTTAGAAGAGGCGGAGGGAAGAGGAGGCGAACAATTTATTAACATTGACAAGTAATTTACACCAAATCAATGCAAATTCTTATTACCCCAAGTGTTCAGGTCTCCTGTTATTTGACGAAGCCGTTTGAAATCTGCTCAGCTGAAACCCGGTAAGTTTTGGACACAATCTGTCATCGAGCAGTACATTGTGACTTCTCAAGTCATGATGGAGTACTTCTCGATCGTGACAAAAGACAAGTCCATTGGCAATTCCCGTGGCTATTTTAAGTTTTATGGACCAATCCAAGTTTGCGGGTGCATTCGCAAGATAATTCTCGAGATTGCCATTTTCACACCATTGAGTAATCATATATAGTTTACCACTATCTTGAAGCGTGCCTATACTGAGAATTGTAAAACGAAGCATACCGAATCCATTAGACATTACGAATATGGGCGCTCAAATCGTTGCACAAAACATTAAAACAAGCTTACAATTTTAACACATTTTCGCAGTCGTCCATCAATTTCAAAATCGCAATCATCAAATTGATATCATTTCTTTCAGCCGAGTCCATTATGTTAACCTGACCTAAATATTTCTGCGCCACCTGTTGCTGCCGATAATATAGCTTTCTTACTATCTTTCCATTTATAAATGGTTCTTCACGACTATAATCGGATATATTCTTCATTGGTATCTCAATATTGCGTGTTACGGCTGCTATAGTGTCCCGCATATTTTCGGACTGGGCGCTAGGTCCTCGAAATTCAAGTGCATTGGTAATACTCGGATCTGGTATGGACGCCATCGTGTTTTGTAATTCGCCTATTTTCACCAGCTTTTCTAAATTGACGGCATGTTCTTGTATTTCGCAAATGCCCATTGCATCTTTAAGGACGCGGACGATGGGGCTCAGCAATTCGATGGTTTTGTCACTTTGTTCAATGAGCTTGGTCATCATACGTCCATGGCCTCTACCTTGAAGCACAAGCAGATGCTGTTGGATGTGAATTAGTTTGCCTGATGCAATTTGCAGGGCTTTCGAATCCTATGGACAAAATCTGTTACTTATCACGATTCGCAAAAATGTAAACATAGAATCTCCAGGGACACTTACGTCTTGACTTAATACATAAACTGCGACGGTTTCAATAGTTGACTTTTTCTTTGGAGCGATCGTTGTCGCAATCTCAACCAGAGTCGGAAGATAAACATCTCTCAAAAAATGCTCAAGTGGCTTGTTGTTGCCGTATTCTTCTTTATCTAACGATTCCAGAAAATTCATGTTGGATAAAACAACGTCGTGAATGGTTTTGCATATCGCTTTGTTGTGGTGGGCCATCTGTGTCATATCGAGAATCTGTCCCGCTACGGTGGCTATCTCCCCAATGAGTGGGGCATGCTGGGCAACTAGAAGAAGACCCACTTTCACAGTCTCAAAGCTTCTACTGCTGAAGACATTCTTGGGAAATTTCCCCATTGTGTGCAAATGGTAAGCTGATATAGGCGCTGACTAGGCGACGTCCTCACCTAAACTTTGCAAGACCTCACATAACAAGTGGAGCGCTTAAAAATATGGCGAGCCTCGCGTTTGTTACTTCCATAAGTTTGTTCTTTCTCGTGCTCCAAATGGAAATGTTCCGCATAGTACACGTGACCGTTTCACAGTATCTCTTTGTTCAAAAATTTCGAGCGGTCTGTCTTCCAATAGTTCGAATTCTACATGCACCATTACGTTATCTTGTATCAGGGCAATCTTCCGAAGTCCGCTCACACGTTTTCGGAATACAGGTTTTAGAATGTATAGACTGCGAAATAGGGGAGGAATGACACAGGGAAACATCGAAATTTGTTGCTGCGGTCGTGCGCAGAAATTGACTCGTTTGTATCGAATAGGGAGACTTGGAAATGATGTCATTTCTGTCAAATGACATTTCATAGCATTAAGCCTGTACAATTTTCTTATCGCCTGCTGTTCAACGGAGAATGAAAAATGAGAGCGATAAGTAAATGCATAACGTTTGAAAACATTGTCCCTTGCATAAATTTTCCGTATTGGCACAATGCTGGTCACACTCATCATTGTGTCCGAATTTGGATATTGTTTTGGTCCTATCACAGCCCATTCCTTTATTTGATTTACTTAACTCTTAACGGTTTGAGCATAGCGCCAGAAGGGTCATATAAGCATGTGTTACACAGAAATATTAAAAAAACCCAAAGCTGTTTAAACCCACGTTTCAGATTCCTTGTCATTCGGTAACTTTCCAATAAAATTGCCCGCCGAGGTCTGTCTGGACAGGTTATGCTCGAGCATGCATAAAAACGACATTTTTCGAGGGCTTCTCCTGACAATCGAAACTTATTTGACAGTATCCGGTATACTATAAAAATTCTTTCGAGTAATCGATAATAATACTACTCTCCCACCTTTACCATCTCAATTCCTAAGCACTATCTTGTCTCATCTCTTTTAGACAAACATACATTTTTATAATGGCATTTACTTCAACCGACGCTCAAGTTGCCATGGACGTTATCGGCGCTATGGCCAATTGCCTCCCGTTTGCCGAAAAAGCGGTAGCTCTGTTCAATGAAGTCATAAAAATGGCAAAAGCCGCCAAAGAATATAAATCCCTATGGTTGGTGATGGCTGGCAAACTAGAAAGACTGAAAGAAACCTTGGAGCGTCACAATCCTGATACATCTAGCCCTATTTACCAAAATTTTGTAACCATCCTGGAAGAATTCCAAAAAGTCTTGAAGAAAAATAAAATACAGGGAAAAAATCGACCCTGGGCCAAGGTTCGTCAGATGGTCGCGGCTCATGTAATTTTGGCCGACTTTGAGTCTCTTTCGACAAAAAATTGACTTGGCTATGAACGAGTTTAACTTTGATGTCAACCTTCAAATTCATACAATAGTCAAAACCACGGCTGCTGATGTTTCTATTATAGATGCTAAAATTCAAAACATTATTGATGTTAAAAAGACAAGTATAAGAGAATTAGAAACAAAGTTAAAGTTAGGAAATCCAGAGAATTTTAAAGCGCCGAGACCTGCGGTCAAGCGTGGGAGCAATGACCAGGTAGTAAAAAAGATTTATATATCACAACAAGTGGCTATGAGAGATTACGGATTGAACGATTCACTTAAAGACGAGATGAGGAGTAAGCTTCTAAAACACATTGCTGTGGTTAAGGAACTTGGCCGGCATCCGAATATCATCTCAACGTAAATAAGACTATCAACAATTATTACTGTCTTCCCTATCGAAGCACAAAATGCTTTTCTAACCCATATGTTTGCTTCTGCTTACTTTAGTTTAGGTTATACGATACAAAATGGACACTTATATTTGGTCTCCGAATGGTGTGAATTTGACAATCTTCAGATATTTTTACACAACAGAAAAGATCTCGATTGGAATGTAAAATTAAAGATCGCCACGGAGCTTGCTGGAGCCATGGTATACTTCCATGCACACGAATTTTTACATCGGAATCTCCGGAGGTTTGTAAACCCTTGGTTAGCAACTGCTATTCGAGCCGGTGATTCTCTAATATGTTGCTCCCCTTTTCATACGCAGTGATGTGGTTCTGCTTGATGGATCACTTACGCCAAAACTAGCCGGATTTATGGATAGTCGTAATGTAGCGGACAAGTCCACTAAGCTCGTCTTTGAAGGAATTAGGTAAGATAATCAGTATCACAAACGATTGGTTAGTAATTGTACACGTACTGATAATCACGTTTTTAGGTGGAGAGCACCAGAGAAACTCACAAAAAGCAGTAGTGACGACGAGGAAGAATGGTGGGCAACTACATCTAGCTATACTATCAAAGCAGACGTTTTTAGGTAAAACTTTTCCATTTCCTGAATCGTTCAAACATTGCGCAAAGCTTAACAAACACGCGTTTATGCTTTAATCCACCAACTAGCTTTTCGATGCTTCTCTGGGAACTGGCATCGCATGAAGTACCCTACGCGGGAATTGAAGATTCGGTGGATATATGCAACAAGATTCTGGATGGTGAACGTCCTTCTCTCACCGATATCGACATACCAGCAAAATACAAGGATATAATAACTAGAGGATGGGCTAATGAAGCGGACGATCGACCAGACATGAGGGAAATATACGAAGTTTTAAACCGACTTTTCAATGGTACAGATCCACTATGGGAAGACGATTACTTTCAAATTCGCCCGCACCATATACCTGTGATAAAAACTCCCGATGACAGCAACACATCGAACGACAATGCCGATAGCGGCTCCGACTCCGACGCTGCATCAGTCACGGGCATTAAACCCGGCAACGTTTCCAGATCTCGTGCTTCGAGCTTTGAAAGATCCAGGCTTTCCATCTGTACATCAACGCCTGCGTCGGCTACGTCATCTGCTTTTCCGACACCAACAGGATCAGTGTTCAACCTCGCTTTAGAATCGTCTGCGGAGGATGATGCAGGTGATAGGAAAGAATCGTCTGAAGACGACAAAGTTACTCGTAAAGAGATTTTAGAGAACGGCCGAGCGCTTCATAAGGATGGCAAATATCAAGAGGCATTCGATCAATTCAAAACGGTTGCGGAATTGGGTGAACCACTCGGCCATTATTTTGTGGGTCTCTACCTTGTCAGCGATAAGTACGGTTGTAAAGATATAGAAGCTTCGTTTGTTCATCTTGCCAAGGCTACAGAAGGTCACGTGGCAAAAGCTGGGTATTTATACGCGACACACTGGCAGAAGCTCCATAAAAGGCTTGATAAAACTGCAATGAAATACCTTAAAATGTCCTCTGATGCCGGATGTAAGGAAGCAATGTTACTTTACGGAAAACTATTGGTTGATGGGAGATGTGGATTAAAGAAAGATGTTGCTGGAGCGGAAGAACTTTTCAATAAGGCGAAGCTTATTGAGGGGGAGGTTAATGTGAAGCAGGAGAAAGCGTTACTCGAAGCTATTGAAAAAAGCAAACAGCAATCAGTTAATTGAGCGGTTACACGTTTGTTTTATATTACATGTATATTAGGTGGATTGTATTTATTTGACACGAAGTTTATAATAGAGACACACGCATTCATCTCTTTTCGTAACGATATACTGTACATATTGGGATCGTTGGACGTGAATTGCAATTATGGTGTCTATGTGTATTGGTTATTTTCAAAGTAGCAAATTGCTCATTTCCGCAAGGTATCGACAAATCCCACTCTCACGGTTATATCATGAATATTACGACATCGTTAAGATTGCCTACCTGCCATATTAACGGCGTCTATTGTTCGATCATAGTTATCTTACTTGCAAATTCTTTCAGATAAGGACAATAACCAGTTGTCTGAAAATAAGAAGGTTACGACGACCTAATAAGATTGTAATTAGTTATTAGAGAGGGCACCTTATCTATTCTGCATCTACTATTACCGCCTAGTAGGACAATTTGGAGTTTAAGTCAGATGCTGATCCTCTTACTTTATAAAGTTAATACAAATAATTCTTGCATAATATTAAACGCCCGTCGTTGGACAAAAAATCAGGTTTTCCTCACACCTTGTTTATTTAGATTTGGATTGCCTTCTTAACCATAGATGACCACTGCAATGCCCTTTTGTAAAACTAACATCTACTTAAACATAACTTTATCGCTATTTGGATTTCCTTAGTTGGTCTCGCGTCCTCTGCGATTCGTAAAGAATTTTTAATCGTCCTTCCCTTTTTATATTTAACAATTATTGGTATAGTTACATTATACGTCATTGTACAAAATTAATAAACTACATTAGGAAGTTAAGCGAAAATTTATACGATTTATGCATACCTCCTCTTCTAACTATTGAATAAATACAAATCAGAATGTGTATAATTGTATTGGAAGAGATGCAGGTCTATGTACGTTATGTTACAATCATGAATCAGCGGAAGTAACTGCGCATTGTTCAGGATTAATACGGTTGTTACCAGCCCAAGCGGGAAATTGAATTGACTATGAAGCAGATTAATAGTTAATGAGTACATGCGCGTGACATGGCCTGAGAAATCACGAGATCGTACACTCACCGTAAAGAATCCGTTTGTAAACAAGAACACAAACAACACGCACATTTGCGTTCCAGAATCCAATGCCGCATTTACTACGTAATTGTACTTTCTCCACAGTTGATGCCTGTATCTGTATATCAGGAATTGCGTTGTAAATCCGACAACCAACGCAGACACTACATAGTTCTTGGGTAATTGCGAAGTCAATGCTGCACCGAGGCATATCAAAGGTATATTGACCGATCTCCAAGGAAAACTTGACTTGGGAAATTTGCGATTCAACAGATAGAACGGCACCGGTAACAGAAATCCGACGACCCAACACCACAGTAACGAACGGTACGGCGACGTCGCACCGAATATCCTTCGTGGCCCAACAGCGCCCCAAATCACCGATGCGGTATAAAAGTATCCAGCATACAACGATGCCCAAGGATGTGTGTTGGTGCGTAACTCGTTTGCGTGCGTGTTTATCACGAACGTCATGACCGAGTACATGACAAATGCAGAAAGAATGGTACCGTACACTTGAGCAAAAAGAATGACGCGTGGGGGGATTTTCATGTACTGGCCGAGTTTGAACGATGTGGTTAGCATCAAACACTGTTGTAACGCCCAGTAAGAGTATACTTTGAATAAGTAAGTGGCGACCGGTTGACCGGAAAACATGTAACCCCCGAGCACTTCGGACAAGATATTTGTCCCAATCTGCTGATTTGCTGTGGCCTCAATTATACCGACTGGTAGTATAGTAATGAGAGATAGAACAACTGCCAAAATTATGCCCCAGAATGGTAACCCGGTAGACCAAAATATGACAAACACTATAGCCATCGTCAGCGAAATCAGAAAGATTGCGGCATACCATAGGACGGGCACCTTTTTGTAGGCTTTCATTAACCGCACATGAACGCAAGCATCTTGTTCTAGTGTTACTTGATTCCTTGCCCAGGTGTTAGATTCCGTGCTCCTGACCGTTGACGTATCCAAAATATCTTCATTGTCCTTGGTTTCCTTCTCTATTATATTTTGTTTGGTAAATTTGCTTGCTATGCTCTTAATCTTTCGACAGATATCGGTACCGTGCCACAAAAACATATGGGTGAAACACGAGGTGATTGCGAGGAATCCACATGCAAATGTGAGTGCAAAGAACGGGCTCATGTATACCTCCGAGTAGCTGTTGAGAAGAGTGGAATTGACTTTGTCTGTGGCTTTGTTGAGGATTCGGGAGAGATTGTATACGGCACCGGATGAGTCGTATTCGCTTATGGAGGTTATGTCATAGGTTTGCGCGTTCCAGAGATTGGAGTAGTACACTATTGGCATCACGATCCAGAGAAAGATCAGGGAACCGCCGAAAAAGTTGGCCTGGGCCCACTGTAGAAAACGGAATCATTTAATTACTAAGGAGGGTGTAGGGAAGGGGCACGAATTGGATGAGGGGGATCAGCCAAGTACTTACCCAAGGAGTAGCCATTAACGAAAATTTGCTTAAGCTGTTCCAATCAAAGGTAACATCTAAAATCCCCAATCCTTGAAGTCCACTTCCCAGAGCCACAAGCTTTGGATCTGTGTTGTTGAAATAACATAGTACTGCTACACTAATCAGGATGGGAGCGATAAAGTTAGGGAACAATTCCCACACAAATATAGCAGCGAAAACAGTCCAAAAGAGCTGCATTCTGGATAGGCTACGAACGAAATTGTATTTGCGTTCATGCAGTGTATTGAGAAAGGCAACATTGACGAGGGTTGATGGCCAGACCATTTGCGGAGTCTCGACCAATAACTTGTAGAATATACCTGCCTTGAAGAGTGAAAGGAATATAAAAAAGGAAAGAGATTGGGTATAAACATTGTTGCCCGCGGATGTTAATTGGTTTACGGATAATGCATTCTAATAAAATCTTTTACCAATCCAAAGCCCAGGCATTGTGACGACAGTAAGAATAGTAGATTTCCGCCATGGCCAAAGTCATGTGAGAAAAACAGCCGCTGAGCAGATATGGCGTGAATTGCATATGGATAATAAGTTGCAGCGGAAGCAGTTACTCCGATCACAGCATGTTCCTTTACATTAAACGGTCTAATATTAATATTAAAAGGTAATCGTGGTGATGGCACAAATCATCAGCATGTATTCGTTCAATTTTTTTATGGCAGATCAAAAATGAAATTTGGTCCGTTCCCCGTTTCGGGAACTAACTGACGTTTTGACTTCATTTTATATATTAGATCACGATATTGTTACACCAACACCAAATTAGGATAAAAGTGTCTTACCCAGGATTTAGCGAAAACTCCTTTCCAAACAGTTTGATCTTCTTGTGAGGTAAATACCTCGCCATGACAACCCCCAAAGGATAGCTTACAAGTTGAGCGACAAAGACGCTAACTGTCATGGGTATGAATGTGAAATAATAGTATTGTGAAAATGCCGCTCCGACTGTCGTGGTTAATGTGCTCAATACCAAGTATCGAAACGTCACACATGGTAATGATTTGTCGTCATTCATCGAGACAGTTGCACGAACGGACTCGATGGGTGAATTCTCAAGTGCGGGATAACTGCCATAATACTTCGTCACATGATCGTCTGCATTATAGTCATCAGCATTCACATGGCGATCGATTGTCGAAGTCACGTACTGTCTGGGATCGTCCCCGTCGGAGGATGGGGTAGAGGAACTTGTGCTAGGCAGTGAATGGGTCGTTGACATTACCCAATCTGTTTTTTAAGTGTGCATGAAACAATGTTGGTGAAAAGAAAGATATATCGTTTTTTGCACAAAGAAAAAAACCACCTGTACGTTGAAAGGATAACGATGGCGTGAGAAGGCTTTATAACAAAAAATGAGAGCCACACACATTGAGAGAGATACAAACAACGTTCATTTTTTAACATTGCATTTTATCTCATCACTGTCCCGTGTAGTTGTATAAACGTACCAGAGATAAGGAGTAATAATAACAACCAATTCAGACGATAAAGGGTTTTGCCCCAGACAAAGCAACCTTTTATCTATGATAAAGTTGGGGGGGGGGGGTAAGAGAAAGAGGAGACCAGTTGGGGTAAAATGATTTTCTAATGTGAATTGGAAACCTTGATTGGTTATGTAGATGCTGCTATATACCAATAAGGGCGGAGTTGAATTATACGCTGTGACCTAAATGAGGGGATATGGCGGGGGACGACGAGAGAGCGAGAGGGAAAAGGTCTTTTTAACAGCGAATGTTCCAGTAACAATACGATACTATATTATATAAATTATTTTCAGTGTACAGATCATGTACATTGTACCACTGACTGTTTGTGTAATGGGAACCCTGTTACTTATACTTCTTGTATTATATATATGGAACAGTCGGTGTAAGGAAGTTTAAATAGAATTATAGACAGTTAGAAATGGATAAATTGCGTCTACAAATTCATTGTGGAGCACAACAAAATATCGAGTCTAGGCCCACAATAGTTGTTTTGACGTTTACCGTTACTGATTACTAATAGACATGTTTCAATACTTGTACGCATGACCAACCATCTTGTCAAATTAATTTCTTTTCTTTTCTTTTCTTCCATACCACAACGTTGTAATCGTGGACACATTTCATATTCGGATTAGATCGTCACCGTATTACATTCATTACCGATATTGTGAGTTGGCCCAATCCCGTTAGTTTTCCTTGGCATACTGGTTCATTGTCCTCGCACACGCCAATTTAATTCATTCGAGAACAATACTAAGGTAAAAGATTGTTAAAAGCAGTCTAGCTCTTTGATGTCATTCATGTTGACGCACTTTACACACTTCAACAGACAGTGGGGATGGGAAGCAAACATTGATGTATTGAGGTTACGTTTCGACATGCACATGAAATAGATTTTGTGTTTACCATACGATCAGCGCATGGTGACACCATGTATAGGCAAACTATTGCTACAAGTAATCGAAAGTCATATGGAAATTGTATAGTTACTAGGCGACAGAACAACCTAATTATCACGAACCGCATGCATATTATTGAATAAGTTTCCTTTTCGTAACTTTCACATTTGGAACACAGCAACAAATTAATTTATTAGCAATTAAACTAAAAGACCAATGCAAATAGAAATGTACGATTAAAACAAAGCTCTCAACCGTTTTGCTTCTTATCACGATTATGGGAAGTACGCCAGTAAAAGCAGATGGATAGTTACTTTAAATGCTCATGGTGTAAAACAGCGGTTAACATTGCATTGTCTTTATTTATTGTTATCTTCAAACGTCTTGTTATTTCTGTGCACAAAGTGTAATCAACAAAGCAAAATAATTTACTTTTGCCATTGCTCCTCAACTCATTTGAAATAAATCAACAGCATTCATTTGATAGTAAACTGATAAGAAACCCGCTCTCAATTATAAGCTTGTATTTCAGGAATATATTCTCACATCTTTATCGAGACATAACTATATTATCTTAATAATACTACGTATTACATATTGAAATCGAGCTATCGAGAAACAATAGGATTTATCGTAGCGATTTCCTTTGACGTTATGAGACGTATTCGCTTTCGGATATTAAATAACACAGATTATTTAGACAGAGATAAAACTAAAAGTAAATTAAACCCCTAAGTAAAGGGTTTATGCCAAACAGATAAAGAACAAAAATCGTTATTACTGTTGCTTGTTAAAGGCTACTCTTTGCCGACAAATTTCATACTTGGTTTTTTTCTTTCAATGATCATACTAGTTTGATTTCACAATTAATTTGTTTTCTGCCGATTCTTCGTTTTAAATCTCTTAACCTGAGACATATTGATTATTATTTCTATGTCCTTATTCTGTTCCAAACAATTTCTTGTTGTTTCGAAACGCAAAATATCATCAAATACGATCATCAAAATATCACGTGGTCTGGACAATTTGTTTAAATTACAAGAACGTCTTTAAATTATCAAATGCAATAGCAAAATTATCGATGATGTAATAAGGTGTAAACATTTTCTTTAAATTACGAAAACGGTCTTCTCTATCGTCGAATGAAATACCGAATGATCGGCAAGTAGTGTTTGGATATAAAATATCGCTGCGGATAGTGACAATTTTCAGGGTGGAGAGGTTATCCGACCTACAGCTTAACATGTGTCGTCTGACTTATCGACAAACTTTCATATTAAAAAAAGTGGTTGAGATGTTTTTTCTGACCTAAGCCAAATCCGACTTATCGAATATTCCTTGTTGAAAATTTCTTTTTAGATTAGCCAAAACATACACAACGGCGTGTCTCAAGTCAAATGCAGATTCTTTGCCGTTAATGATAGCATATTGTAAAGGGGTACAAGAGACATATTGATTGATAAGTCTATGATTTCTACGTTATTAGAATTGGATCATTGAATTCTCTATGCAAGTTGTTGTAATTGCTGATATTTTTAAACTGCTTACGTCAATACTCAAGTTGATGCAATTTGTTGTGTCAATTGCACCGTCGCGTCCAAATTTTGAGTTAGTAACCATGTATGACAATCTGTATACTTCATCGATTACAAAACTAAGTTGTTATGCGTAAGTATAAGTTCAGAAGTTTCATATCACTGTTTATTTTCGCAGAACCTCTGGTTACATAATCCCATTCAAGCATAGCTATTAGTTGTTTTATTAAGTATAAGTGTATAAAATTAAAATCGCGTAGTCAATAGGGCAAATATTAAGCAGTTGCAGAATTAATATTATTTATGCTACGCACTGTTACTAATTCTCTGTATATTTTATATCAGTATATGTATTATACATACAAAACATCATATTAATGAAATAAAATTGTTTGCTAAAAGATATTACAACTACAAGCATCCAACCTCCTGCAAATGTATTAACAGTACCAACTTGGTTGATCAATCATTGCATTATGACAAAGTGGTGTAAAGCCTGCTTTACAAACTTGACATGTAGGCAAGAGTCATTTTCTTGCTCATTTTTGTCTGGCTCTACAACTTATTGGGTAACAGTTAACAAAGTTGGCAATAGTGTTATATGTACTCTTAAAAATAGATGTATGGATAACTTGCCCATCTTGATTGATCCAAAATATCAACATCATTATAATTGTATTGTTACCACATTTAAGAGCTGTAATAATAATCTTTCCACCAATCCAACTCCAAAGGTAATTATGAACAAGTAAATGCTCACCCTAAAACTGCATGCACCTCCTATGCCAAGTGTAGCCTCAGCAAATACACAATAAATCAGAATAAAGTCCATATTTTAAGTGTAAATTGCTTTTCTGTGAACCAAAAAATTTTATATATGATGTGTGTGCTTGGACATCCACATCCTAACCCACCTCCAAGTACATGTTCATTTTTTGCTCTCCAAGAAGCAAGAGGTGCTGTACTGAGTTAATATCGTAAGTAAAGAAATGTCACTTATAGCTTAGCATTCAGTTTTAATTGCACTGTTGCTGTAGTAAGGGTAGTGATAACTGAGCCAACTGAGACAGAGCCCTGTTGGCCATACGGTTCTATAAACAACTTAATAAACTGGCTTGTGTACAAAATCAGCTGATATAAAATAACCAATTCCGAAACCGAATTAAAAAAACCGTCGAGAAGCCAGTTCCACCCTACCAATTGAAAAGTTTTTGCATAATATATAGAATTTACATCTTTTTGTCTGATCAATACATACGAATTTGCCTTTTTGACCCTCACCGTTATTACGGAGCAAATCCAACCAATCAAATTATCAAAAATTGTTTACGTTACACGTGATAATAATTTGAAATCTCTCGCACTGCCGCCAAAATTTTGGTAAACAAAGAAATGAGTAACGTAATTGAATTACTTTCCGGTGTTTCATCGGATTATGAAAAGCTTTACGAGAGCGGAAAATATACCGATATCTCAATTCATGTCGGCCAAGAACCAAGCAGCAAGATATTTGTTGCTCATTCCTTGGTTCTATGTACAAGAAGCGCATATTTTGAAGACAAACTAACCGGTGCCGCTACCGAAATTCAACAAACTGCTGTGGTGTTCGAAGACATGGCACCTGATATTTTTGAAATTTTGCTTAGGTAAATTTGACATGTGAAGCTTCATACGTTTTGTAACGGCTCGCAAGTTGCTTTTGGTTGTAGCGAACACAATACAGTATTATTATTGTTAGTATTAGTGGTTTATACAATGTATACTACGTCTTGATTAATGCTCATAACTGCATTTGTAGATTTATTTATACCGGAAAAATGTCTTCTCAATCTTGTGAGAATATATCTTGGGTTGTTCTTCTGCAAGAAGCTAATAAGCTTGGATTAAGCTCCTTCTGTACTGCGATTGGATCTTATTTGATCGAACAACATGAGGAATGGATAAAACAGAACATCCTCACAGTTTATAACTATGCATCGTCCACTGACTCGCTGCAGAGACTTGAAGACTATTGCAACCAGCTTATGTTATTGTTTCCAGAGATTATCCTCAAGTCCAGTAATATGGTAGATTTATCAAAAGAGGCCTTTATTAGCCTCCTCAAGAATGACGAGCTTAATATGGATGAAGTTGATGTTTGGATGTCAGTTATACAATGGGCCATTCACCAAATTCCTGGACTGTCAGGCAATCCGACCGAGTGGTCGCATAATGATGTTATTGTCATCAAAAACATAATAGCAGATTGTGTGCCTCATATACGATTTTTTAATATTTCATCTGAACAACTCAGTGAAA